CCCCCCACTAGAACCGTGCAGATGCCCATCACCAGCTCAGGGCAGCTTTCTCCACACCCATACTCGGTGTGGTGCCCCACGTCCTGTCTCCTGGCAGGGTCCCTGTGGCACAGAGCTGCCAGGCAGGGCTCAGCCACAGTGCTGCAGGGGCCCTGGGCAGGACAGCGGGGACAGGAGGGGCAGAGTAAATTCACAGCGGGGGACAGCACTAGGAACTGGACCCCACAGGGCCCCATGACACAGGCAAGGCGCTGGGAAGGGGCAGGAGACCAGAGGCAGCTGGGGGTGGCCGAGATGTCCCAGCCCTCAGCCAGAAGAGGTGGTTCATTGTGCACACTGCCTGGAGGGTCGGCTCCAACCCAGAGTGCTCATACAGTTGTGTGTGCTCATACAGGTGCACACAGACATGAAGCAATTCATACATATGTAACATGTGAACAGTATACACACATAAGTTATTTTTACACGTGTGTACAGTGTCTATATTTATGCGTGCTTATGCATAGCACATTTATGCACACGTGTGTACATGTGTGCACGTACGTGTGTATGGAAGTGCACACATATGTACTGCGTATGCCTGCATAGACCTGTGTGCATGCACACGTGTGCACTGTTCACACACACACCTGTGTGTGTGCATCTGGGCACCCACACAGACAGTGCACGGCGGGGCCAGGCCTCCAGAGGATAGCCTTGCCCCTGGTGACTGCGCTTGTGGAGCCTGCAGCCTCACTGAGACAGAGGAGACGCCCGGGAAGGCGACACAGTCCCGCACGCTGCGTGGCCCTGAGGGCAGCATGCGGGTGCACAGCACAGTGCTTGTCATGGTGGGCTAGGCCGCTGGCGATTGGCCCCGCTGTGCCGGCAATGACTACGGAGAACCTGGCATCACGGAGACCGAGGGGCAGACCCTCCGAGCCCATGGGCTGCAGCAAAGAAGAGAGAAAATACTGATGGAATGGGGTGTGGCCTTGCCTCAGCCAGTGTAGACCCCCAGAGAACTTAGCAGCACCAGCCAGGAGTCACAGACTGGAACACGCCTCATGGCCAAGGCTGTGAGCCAGCCAAGCCCCCATCCCAACCCTGCTGGAGGTGTTCTTATCTTCCTGTCACCACAGAGAAACAGAAGCAGCTCAGAGAAGTCAGCACCTTGCCTGAGGTCACACAGCAGAAGCAGATCAACTGACAAAGTTCCCCCCACCCACCACCACCCTTGTGGACCCTGCAGGATCTCTCAGAGAACAACGCAAGATGCTAGATGTGACAGGAGGGATGGAAGAGGCCATGACCCAGTGTAGCTCGGTCCTCCTGCTGGACCTTTGTGAGTTTACACTGGCTGCACGCCTTCCAGAGTGTCTCTGGGGCAGGTGGCCGGCATGAGGATGGTGTGGGGACCTTGTCCAGGTCTGGCCTGACCCAGCCATCCCCTCCGGCTTCCTCCGCTGCTCTGGGGGTCTGTGCTCTCCATCTGTGGCTCTGCATTTGTCACTGAAGCACAGCCTGTGTCACTGTGTGTGACCAGGACATCTGTGTGCCCTGCCCTGTCCCTCTCCACTCACAGCGCCCTCCATCCACACTGCTCCTGTCCTGCGCTGAGCTGGGCTTGGCCCTGCTACCACAGCCAAAGGTGGCAGGGACTGTGGGTCTGACTGCCCGCTCACGTGGGCTGGGCTCAGCAATGTAGCCCCACCATGGACGTCAGGAGCAGGACCCTGGTCCTCCGTGCTTCTCCCCGAGGCGGGACCGGGCTCCAGCCACCCATGCGGGCGCAGGCTTGGAGTAGCCAGACTTTCCTCAGAGAGGTCCTGGAAGACGAGAGGGGCAGAGACAGACGGGGCAGGGCGGGAGGAGGCGGTCAAGGCCAGGCAGGCCGGCGTGGGTGACCAGCTCTCTCTCTCTCTCTCTGTCTCTCTCTGTCTCTCTATCTCTGTCTCTGTCTCTCTCTCTCATAAACACACACACACACACACACACACGTGCATAGTCATGTGCTTCATTTCTCTGGGATCCTGTGATTTCCTGCTTCCTCGAAACCGTGTGAACATCAGTCCGACACAGAGTTTCATGTCCAAGCGCTCAGCGCAGGCCCAGCTCTGCACCGAGGAGGTGAACCGCTCGCGTAGGGGCTGCACAGAAGGTGAGGTGCTGGTGGTATGCAGGCACTCGGACAGGGTGCTCGGTCCCCCACTTTCCTCAAGTCACGCCTGCTCCTGTGCCCAGCCGCCCTGAGGAAAGGCAGGGCTGTGTCTTTAAACAGGGAGGAGGCGCTGCCCAGGAAGCCGGCAGTAAAAAGGCTAATGCGCTGTGGAGGAGAAGGAGTTTAATCTAATTTAGTTGGAGGGTGTCTGTCTGCGGTGTTGTTTTTGGAGTGTGGGAATAGAGGCGAGAAGCTGCCCCCTTGAATGGTCCCTTCTGCGCCAAAAGCAGTGGGGAGCCGCTGGATGCCTTGGAGCCCAGGCCAGGCCTTGAAAGAGGATTAAAGAAACGCTCTGATTTGCAATTCACACAAATGCACCCCGCGGAACCTTTGGTAATATTTCAATCCACATTTCAAGGGAAGTGGCCTTAAAATAGCAGCCTAAATTGTTCTGCAGCCTGGAGGATGCTCACTCCTCCAGTTTATGACAAGGGTGTTTTGTTGTTGTTGTTTATTTCTCACCTCCCCCAGCCCTTCCCCTTCATCTTACAACTGGAGATTTTTAAGTGTAATTAAAATGTTCATGCTGCTGAATTTGCTGGGACCTGCCCAGATCCCATGTACTAAATATCACTCCGGGGTGGGGGCAGCAGAGCAGGCAGATTTCCTGTGCAGGTTCTCTACCTGGTAAGTTTCAGGGGAAACTTGACAGGAGACCAGGCAGGGACATGGCCAGTGCTCCAGGCGTCTCTGCGTGCCAGGTGACCGTGAGAAGAGAACCCTCTCCGCCTTCCCTTAAGGCAGAGCTGTGCAAGCCCTCACTTGGTCCCAGCACTGACGGGGAGGTCAGAGAGAGAAGGCCGCCGGCCCTGCAGCAGTGGCTCACCAAGCTGGAGAGTGCCAGGAAGACCACTGAGAGCGGGCCACTGCCAAGGCACCAACAGCCAGCCGCGCCCTCCCTTTTCGTCTTCCCTTCCCCTGCGCGATTTCCTGCCCACTCTGCCTACCTCCCACAAGTTTACTCTTAAGCACGATAAACTTATGGTTCAATTTCTCTTTACTGCTGAAAGTCTCAGTGCGTTTTATCTTAAAGAGATTATTTGGGTTTTTCTCTAATCCCATTTCAGAAAACCTCGCACAGGGCTTATCGTTTCCATTAACTATTACATACTGAGAAAAGACACCGCTCTGATTGTTAGCACTATCCGTGTCACAGCACTTTATACTTTTCACTTTGCTGGTTGGAACAGAATGAAAGTGGGCCTCTCTTTCAACTCCCTCCCATCTCCCAAAACACTCTGCTCTGTGCAAGAGGCTGTCTCGCTCCTGAAATCTCCCCTTTAAAACCTTTCCTTTCCCCGTGAACATTTGTGAGAACTTGAAGACGGTATGCAGAACAGGGGCAGCTCTCTGCTGGGTAAGTGTATTTTAGGTGGCTGGAGCAAAAAAGATTCCTTCTCCCTGTACGTTACAGGAAATCCTGTTTAATTATAAAGTTTCATTAGAAAGCTTTGCTCACATTTTTAGAGGTCTAATAAGATTTCCATTAATTTAAACATATCACTATTCCCACGACAGCCCCCAATGCTTTCTTTTCCCCGCTTTCATCCATGGTTAAATATGTAAATAAAATGTCTAAAGTCATTCTTCAAAGAAGACAAAAGAAAAAAGGGCTGAAGGAAAGGCAGCCATAAAATTCCTCCCGATTCTCCATAACAGTTGTCAGAGGGGGGCCGGCTGCAGCCCAGCCTAGCAGCAGGGAACCCGCTGCTCCTCAGACTCAGCTCCAATCCCACACACAGGGAAAAAAAATAAAATAAAATATCTTTTCAGCTGGAGCATCAAAAGGCCCTTTTCATTTATTAGTTACAGAGTTATCTTGCAGTTGGTGATTTCTCAGCGCCTCCGTTTTCTGATAATAATGTCTATTTGTTGGTCTGCGGCTCTGCTGGGCCTAGGGAAGTGCTACTCCACAGACATACTTAGAAAAAAAAAGAAAAAAAAGGAGAGAAGAAAGCAATCTGAAGTGGCCGTGGCTAAAATTATAGGCCTGCACACAGCGGAATTAAAACAGTACATAAAAGATCAATTAGGAGACACTCTCACTCCACTCCAGGGCTTGGCACTGGGAGTAAAAGAAAACGGGACAGAAGGGGACAGGGCACCAGGCGGGATCCTCCAGGAAAATTCTAGAAGCACCAAGCGGTGTCTGTGGAATCTGCTAATTTAGCGATTTTGAAAGATGGCTCAGGAAACCCCAGAGAGAGGGGGCCCACCGTGCTCATCACAGTGGCTGTTTCTTCAAAGCCACATTGGCCTCCCCTTCGCACCCCTTGGCCTCACCCCAACTCTCAGTGACATGCAGGCCAGGGTAAGGACTCCGTGCGGGGGCACGAACCACCTGTCTGCTGCTTCTGGGACCCAGGGCCAGTGGAGTGCTCCCACCTCCGAGGAGCATGGCGGTGAGGAGTGAGGCGGCCGCCTTGTTCTAATTAGAAGCTGATCCTCCCAGAGGAAGCGCCAGGCTCTGCCACTTCTCCTCTTGGTGGGTCAGGGCTTCCTGGAGACAGCTGTCCGAACAAGGGAGGGCGATGAGAGCTGTGGGTCAAGCCCCCTCTCTGGCCAGTGCCAAGGAGATCGGGGAGGTGGGGCTCTGGGGCCCCTGACTGGCCTCTCCGCAGGTGGTCCTGGGGGCTTCCCAGGCACCTCAAAGGCCAGACCTCCCTGTGACCAAGGGACCCCTGGGGCTGTTTACCCAGGGTTATCGGGAGGCTGGCGGCACCCTGTGCCTCCCGAGTGGCGCCCCACGATGGGGACGCAGATCCTGGGGACAGCAGCTCCTCCACGGAGGGTGTGAACCATGGCGCCCACCTCCAACTCCTCCGAGAGCCGGGTCCCCGCGCGCAGCCTGGACAAGTAATGCGAGCAGCGGGCGGGCAGAGGGCGGCTTCCTACCCTGGATGACCCGGACTCCCGGCGGGGGCGGGGGACGCGGGGCTCGACCAGGAAGGGTCTCCCGGCCCCCGCCCTCCCCACCTCTTAGAAGAGCCTCGGCCCTAAATCCGAGCGCCCGAGGCCCGCCCCCCATCCCTCTGAAATTTCAAAGCCAAGCCCTCCCGGAGCCAGAGCCTGAGCCAGAGCTGGAGCCCAACCGCTCGACACAGGCTGGTCCCTGAGCCTCGGGCGACGCGGGCAGGGTTACAAGCCGAGGGGCCACTTTAAGGCCAAGGCCATAAAACGCAAATCCCCTTTCTCTTTGAAAGCGCGCTCCTCCCGGGACCCATCATAAAAGTCGGGGAGGATGCCCCCGCTCCCGCGGATCGCCCCCACCGAGCCCCCGAACTTCCCGTAACCTCGGCGTCCTTGGGGTGCCGGGTAAGGTCCCGAGAGCCCTGGACCCAGGAAAGGGGAGCGGGCGCCAAACTGAGGCTGCGCGCCCGACCCTGCGGGGAGTCTGGACGCGGGGCACCCGGGGCGCACGGCTTTCTCATGCA